CAGGAAGTTCTTCCTCATGTTCAGATGGAATCTCCTCTCTTGTAGTTTGAAGCCATTCTTCCATTGCGTCCTAGTCTCCAGGGAAGCAGAGAACGCAATGGAACAATGGCTTCAAACTACAAGAGAGGAGATTCCATCTGAACATGAGGAAGAACTTCCTGACTGTGAGAGCCGTTCAGCAGTGGAACTCTCTGCCCCAGAGGGAGTGTGGTGGAGGTTCCTTCTTTGGAAGCTTTTAAACAGAGGCTGGATGGCCATCTGTCAGGGGTGCTTTGAATGCAATATCCCTGCTTCTTGGCAGAAGGGGGTTGGACTGGATGATGGCCCAGGAGGTCTCTTCCAACTCTAGGATTCTATGTCTTCTCTCAGCCTTCTCTTCTTCAGGCTAAACATGCGCTCTACCACACTTTGGGGCAGAGAGTTCCACTGTTGAACAACTCAGAGTCAGGAAGTTCAGGTGGAACGCCAGCGTTGACGTCATTTCCTCCGAGGAAGAAGAAGACTAGGCGAAGGGGGCGGGGCCTCCCTTCCAACCTGTTCTTGCCATCCCTCAATCAAAGCCTGAGATCAGCAGGCATCCAATGGGGGCCTGCGGTGGGCGGGGTTTGGCGAGCTCGGCCAATGGGAGGGCGGAGGAGGAGGAGAGCTTCTCAGCCCGGGTTTTCCCTCCGCCATTTTGTTTCTTCCTGAGGGGAGAAGGAGGCCGAACCCTCCTCGCCGTCCCTCAATCAAAGCCTGAGATCAGCAGGCATCCAATGGGAGCCTGCGGTGGGCGGGATTTGGCGAGCTCAGCCAATGGGAGGGCGGAAGAGGAGGAGAGCTTCTCATCCCGGGTTTTCCCTCCGCCATTTTGTTTCTTCCTGAGGGGAGAAGGAGGCCGAACCCTCCTCGCCGTCCCTCAATCAAAGCCTGAGATCAGCAGGCATCCAATGGGAGCCTGCGGTGGGCGGGATTTGGCGAGCTCAGCCAATGGGAGGGCGGAAGAGGAGGAGAGCTTCTCAGCCCGGGTTTTCCCTCCGCCATTTTGTTTCTTCCTGAGGGGAGAAGGAGGCCGAACCCTCCTCGCCGTCCCTCAATCAAAGCCTGAGATCAGCAGGCAGCCAATGAGGTCCTGCGGTGGGCGGGGCTTGGTGGGCTCGGCCAATGGGAGGGCGAAGGAGGAGGAGGAGGCGGGCTTCTTCTCGGTCGGGTCTCATCCGAGTGCCGCCCTCCGCCATTTTATTTCTTCGTGAGGCGAGAAAGAGGAGGAGGCGTCGAAGGCGGCGTGAGGGCTTCCTCTGGAGCCGCGAAGGAGGAAAGGGAGAGAAAGAGAGACAGAGCAAGATGGCTGCTTAGCAAAAAGGTGACCGCTACGTTCTGTATTGGGTTCGTTATATTCTCTCTCAAGGGGAGGGGGAGGGGCCTACTTCCCTCAGGACAGAAACAGAGGCCCCTTCGCCCACCCCCCGCTTCTCAGGCCCCGCCGGGCCTCCCCCTTCTCCTTGGCCCATTCGCCCCTCCCTCCCTCCCTCCCCGCAAGGCAGGCTTCCTTTATGGCGTATATTGTGCATCTAATCTGTGTGGACGTATATGTACCTGTGTGTGTGTGTGTATATAAAGCATGGGCATACTTTTCGACCAACACACACAATACTAATAGGAGCAATCCCGGGGTCCATCCAATCCAGCCCTCTTTATTCTGCCATGCAGGGAAGGCACAATCAAAGCACCCCCAACAGATGGCCATTCAACCTTTGTAATAACAGTAATACTAATAGGAGCAATCCCGGGGTCCATCCAATCCAGCCCTCTTTATTCTGCCATGCAGGGAAGGCACAATCAAAGCACCCCCAACAGATGGCCAGTCAACCTTTGTAATAACAGTAATACTAATAGGAGCAATCCCGGGGTCCATCCAATCCAGCCCTCTTTATTCTGCCATGCAGGGAAGGCACAATCAAAGCACCCCCAACAGATGGCCAGTCAACCTTTGTAATAACAGTAATACTAATAGGAGCAATCCCGGGGTCCATCCAATCCAGCCCTCTTTATTCTGCCATGCAGGGAAGGCACAATCAAAGCACCCCCAACAGATGGCCAGTCAACCTTTGTAATAACAGTAATACTAATAGGAGCAATCCCGGGGTCCATCCAATCCAGCCCTCTTTATTCTGCCATGCAGGGAAGGCACAATCAAAGCACCCCCAACAGATGGCCAGTCAACCTTTGTAATAACAGTAATACTAATAGGAGCAATCCCGGGGTCCATCCAATCCAGCCCTCTTTATTCTGCCATGCAGGGAAGCACAATCAAAGCACCCCCAACAGATGGCCATTCAACCTTTGTAATAATAGTAATACAAATAGGAGCAATCCCGGGGTCCATCCAATCCAGCCCTCTTTATTCTGCCATGCAGGGGTGGCACAATCATAGAATCAAAGAGTTGGAAGAGACCTCATGGGCCATCCATTCCAACCCCATTCTGCCAAGAAGCAGGAAAATTGCACTCAAAGCACCCCCGACAGATGGCCACCCAGCCTCTGCTTCAAAGCCTCCAAAGAAGGGGCCTCCACCACACTCCTCTGAGGCAGAGAGTTCCACTGTTGAACAGCTCTCACAGTCATGAAGTACTTCCTCATGTTCAGTAGTAATCTCCTTTCTTGTCGTTTGAAGCCATGGCTCCATTGCATCCGAGTCTCTCTCCAGGGCAGCGGAAAGAAAGCTTGCTCCCTCCTCAATATGACTTGTGTTTTGTGTGTGTGTGAGTGTGTGCATATATGTGGTTTTGCGCATGCGTTGTAATGTAGGTTTTTTTTCTTTTTAAACCTTTTCTCATTTGTTTTTGAGTGTTTTTATGAGTGATGGTCACTCGTTGGCCTGAGAGGTGTCTTGTGTCCAAATCTGGGGTCAATTCAACCAGTGGTTTTTGAGTTATTTTGATCCCACAAATGAACATTACATTTTATATCTATTTATCTATCTCAGGCATGGGCAGACTTTTCGACCAACACACAACACTATTGCAGTGGGGGATCCCAGGGGCCATCCAGTCCCCTTTGTTCTGCCCTGCAGAGAAAGCACAATCAAATCACTTCAACAGATGACCATTCAACCTTTGCAATCATAGTCATACTAATAGGAGCAACCCCAGGGTCCTCCCAGTCCTCCCCCCTTTATTCTGCCATGCAGGGGAAACACAGTCATAGCACCCCAATAGATGGCAATTCAGCCTTTGCAATAATAGCCATACTAATAGGAGCAATCCCAAGGGCCAACCTGTTCACAGATATAGAAACTCCATTCTCCTAGTTTCCACAAACCTCACAACCTCTGAGGATGCTTGCCACAGATGCAGGTGAAACGTCAGGAGAGAATGCTTCTAGAACATGGCCATACAGCCCAGAAAACCTTCAACAACCCAGTGATTTTGATCGTGAAAGCCAACGAGAATAAATAGTAATACTAATAGGAGCAAGCCCAGGGGCATCCAGTCCAACCCCCTTTATTCTGCCCTGAGTCGTCTGCGGGCTGATATGGGCGGGATATAAGTGATGTAAATAAATAAATAAATAAGCACACCCAATCTTTGTAATTATTATTGTAATTATTACAGGTGCAACCACCTATAATGATGAACATGGCCATACAGCCCGGAAAACCTAAAACAGCCCAGTGATTCTGACCGTGAACGCCTTCGACAATAAATAGTAATACTCATAGGAACAATCCCAGGGGCCCTCCAGTCTCTTTTTCTGCCAGGTATTTGCACTAAATCCAGCCTTTCTTTTATTGTTTGTAACCTCTTTAGCAAGCCTGAGCTCATTCTACACTTCAACTTGTCTAACTTCATCCCTGCATATACTGGCTCTTCCTTTTAATTCCTCTTTGTTGATTTTCCCGTTTCAATTTCTTGTACATTTTTCTTGTAATATTAGTTCAGTTGAAAGTTCCTCACACATCCACCCATTCTGGTGTCTTTAGACACCTCCTCTTTCCTCCTCATTGAAACGGTTTCACGTTGTGTCTCCATTGTCTTGCCTTCAGTGAACTTCCCTCCATCATGGACTCCTCTCTCCCTTAGTCTTCCTGACTATGGGATCGCACTCTGATTTTTACTAAATTTACTGGTCACCTTTCTTGAAGTCTAGTGTGCCTGTCTGACTCTGCTTGACTTCCACTTTCCACTGAATAAAAAACTGTAAGACAGAGAATGGTCGCTCGCACTTAGTGAACCCAACTCTTCCACCCTATTGACCAGATCATGAAAACGTGGTTGTTCCAGTGTGCCTTCCCAGAATAAGGAAACTCCCAGCAACATGTCCTCTAAATGCACTTTACTGTGGATCTAGGAGTGTCTAGGAATATACCCCATCCCTCTCTGAAAACTCTATCCTAGTTGGGTTGTTGTAGGTTTCCCGGGCCATATGGCCATGTTCTAGAGGCATTATCTCTCTCTTTCTTCCACCCTATTGACCAGGTCATCCCTACTGGTCAGGATCAGATTGAAAACTAATTGGGGCTTATGCATATATGTTGTATATTAAGGAACTGAGTTGTGCTGAAGTGAACATGTTGGGAAATCTTAAAAGTATAACATGTTGGTGGTGGTGAAACTGTTTCTATGTCCTGCTAAGAGGTGAACTCACCCAGGTAAATAGAGCAAGCAGAAAAGACACAAAGTCTCTCCCATCTCCTGAGCATTGCATGGTTAAGTCCAATTGTTTTAGAGCAAGGACTCTTATCAGACATTTTTTCAGCCCTGAAAGTAATAACCTCTGTTCCTGTTGCCTTCAAACCCGATCTCTGTGTTGATCTGGTTTAAAAGTGGCAGGCGCTCCGGTTGCTGGATCATACCGCTCCTTAAGTGGTTAGCTGAATTTTGGCATCACAAGGAAGACTTTTTCCCTCTGAAACCCCCAGCTTTCTTAGGATTTCCTTTGGGGAGGGAGGGCAGACTTGCAGGCCTTTGTTTTTATTTAATGCATGAGGGGAAATTGGCATATTTGCTTCTCCCTTTTCCCTCTGTTTCACCCATGCTCAGAAGAGCATTTGTGAGGCAGCTGCTATGGGAGGACTGGTCAGAGTAGATGCCTGTTCTTCCCCAGATCAAGATTTCATTACATTCATTATGGCAAACATTCCTACATTCCTGTATGGAAATCATGTGTTTCTCTAGATCTCCTTGAGCTGCTGAAAATCTTCTGGACAGAAGACAAAGGAGAAGAGGGCTGAGTGGGCCAGAGTAGAAAAAGGTGGGCAGGAAGGAGGCTTTCCTGATTATCCTGGGCCTCAACTGAGGGAGTTAACGGCACAGAGGGGACTTAGTTAACAGAGAGTAATGAGATGAATACCCCAAAATATTTACATGTGGGTTTGAAGTATCCAGATTATTGGCTGAGTGGAGGATTCATTTGGGAATACCAGAAAATGTGGTAGCAAAATTTTGTGATGGGAAAAGAGGGAAAGGAGGTTGTGGGCTTCATGCCTAATCTTTCACTGCTTCTTTCTTGGCCAGGAACATAAGGATTCCATTGAGATGTCTTTGGTGTGATGAGAAACAAACCAGCATCTAGTGGCAATTGAAGATTTTGGAAACCAAACATGCCGTAAGGAAAAGATTCTTGTAGGAAAAAGACATCCCCACAAAGTGCTGATGTTTTGAACTGACTTTGGATGAGAAAGGGAAAAAGAAGACTGAAGTGTTGATATTGCAATTAAACATACATATCACTGTCAACATGCAAGGGAAACCCTATACATGCCTGGAGTGTGGAAAGAGCTTCACTCATAGTGGTAGTTTAGTTTTGCATCAACGAACCCACACTGGAGAGAAACCCTATACATGCCTGGAGTGTGGAAAGAGCTTCACCCAGAGTGGAAATCTACGTTCACATCAGAGGACTCACACTGGAGAGAAACCCTATAAATGCCTGGAATGTGGAAAGAGCTTCACTCATAGTGGTAGTTTAGTTATGCATAAACGAACCCACACTGGTGAGAAACCCTATAAATGCCTGGAGTGTGGACAGAGCTTTGCTCACAATTCAAATCTACATTCACATCAACGAACCCACACTGGGTTGAAACCCTATAATTGCCTGAAGTGTGAAAAGAGTTTCCCTCGGAAGCAAAGTCTGCAGCATCATGAATGGACTCACACTGGGGAGAAACCCTATAAATGCCTGGAATGTGGAAAGACCTTCGCTTGCAGTGGTAGTTTAGGTGTGCATCAACGAACCCACACTGGTGAGAAACCTTGTAAATGCCTGGAGTGTGGAAAGAGCTTCACTAAGAGTACACAACTACATAGACACCAACAAACTCACTTTGGGGAGAAACCTTATAAATGCCTCGAGTGTGGAAAGAGTTTCACTAGGAGCAATCATCTGCAGAGACATGGAAGGACTCACACTGGGGAGAAACCCTATAAATGCCTGGAATGTGGAAAGACCTTCGCTTGCAGTGGTAGTTTAGGTGTGCATCAACGAACCCACACTGGTGAGAAACCTTATAAGTGCCTGGAGTGTGAAAAGAGCTTCACTAATAGTACACAGCTACATAGACACCAACAAACTCACTTTGGGGAGAAACCCTATAAATGTCTAGAATGTGGAATGGGTTTCACTCGGAGGGATTCTCTGCAGCAACATGAAAGGATTCACACTGGGGAGAAACCCTATGAATGCCAGGCGTGTGGAAAGAGTTTCGCTAGGAGCAATCATCTGCAGAAACATCAAATGATTCACACTGGTGAGAAACTCTATAAATGTCTGGAGTGTGGAAAGAGTTTCGCTAAAACTGGAAACCTATGTTCACACCAGAGGACTCACTCTAGTAATGTGATGCCAGAGAAATGTCGTACCTAATGTAAGTGAGTGCATAATGTTTGGACATTTTATTGTATTGTGGTGAAAGGCGCAGAAATATTGGGCATAAATAAATAAATTTTGAAGAATGGGAGGAACTTTGGAAGAAAATATTACAGTTTACAAGAAGCTGCTCTGTTAAATAATTTTTTTATATACTGATCTGCAGATGTTACATAACTCCATTAAAACTCTCAAAGATAAACAAAAAAAATTGCTGGAAATGTAACCAAATAACTAGAACCTTTTATCATATGTGGTGGACTTGCCCAAAGACTAAAGCCTTCTGGATCAAAATGCACCCAGAGTGGATAATGAAAACATACCACAACAATTTTTATTGCAATCCATAGACCCATCAGCACAACTATCAATCATTATAAATTCTCCCATCTCAGGAGAAGTCCGTTGTACAAAATAGATCTGCATGGTTTCAAGTAATACCCCTTTCAGAGGTTAGTTGCTTTCTCAGCCTTGTTGCCACTGCGAGGAATTTTCCCACTAGGAGAGTCACCCTGGGGCCCTTGTCCTCCAAAAGATATCAAACAATCCCCTGCATATGGGGGGTGGCTGGTCATGCGGGACTGGAGTGGATAGAAAAGTTGGCGACGTTGCATTGTGTAGTAGCGGCACTGCAGTAAAATGTGTCCTATTGTTTCTATTTCATTTCCTCCACAGGGACGTAGTCTTTGGGAGCAGCGTATTCCAGACTGTCTGCCTCTTAGCAACTCTGAGGGAAATACCTTTAGTTTCGCCTTTGTAAAGAGTCTATGATATTGAATCACGGTTAGACTTTTTAGGTAATCACAAGACTTAAATGGCTCCCTGTAGGGCAAATTTAAAACTTTGGGGGAACACGGTGAATTTGAGTGGGCTCTAAGCTCTCCCAGGGCAATGTCCCTCAGCCTTTGCTTCGGGGATTCCTGTGCCATTTTGAATCCCAAATGGAGCAGAAGGGGTGCAGATAGTCCTGTTGAGACTGCTTTTCGTCCAGTCCTCCATGCCCAAAGGGGTTTGGAGGCTTCATGAGGGAGGTGATGCAGTAAACCTGTTCCCAGTTTGAAAACCATGGTTTTTAACCACAGATTCATTTTCAGAGTCCAGGCCCTAGTACTCAGCGGGCATTCACCCATTTCTAGAAACATTTGGTAGATGCGATCTAAGGATCGGAACGGAAAAGGGAAACCACAAGGAATTTAATGAACTAAGAAAAGAGGCAAGCAAGCCTTAAGGACTTATGGGTGTTGTCTGAAAATAGAAAACAAATGGAGATTGGAGGAAAAGGTTTACAGCCACCATTATAGAAGCACTTTAACAAGCAGGCCAGAATATTGAAAAGCAGCCAAATAAAAAGACTTTATGAGCAACCAGTTTTAAGACCCAAACAAAGTTATTTGAGAACAAAATTATGAGTTCTGAGTGGAGTGGAAAGGGAAGAGAGAGGGGCTGGTTTTAAACGTCTGAATGCAAGGGAAGAAGAAATAAGAGAAGTAAAATGGATCTGGTTTACAGTATTATTATTATTAACTTTATTTGTACCCCGCTAGCATCTCCCGAGGGACTCGATGCGGCTTACACAGGCCGAAGCCTCAGAACACAATACAGTAAGAACATAACACAACAATAAACAAAGCAAATCAAAATAGTTAAGCAGAATAACAACAACAGTGACAATACATCAGGACACTTTAAAACTGGGCTGGCCAGAGCAATGGGGTACAGGGTTAAAAGTGCTGAAATGGCAGGAGGCACGTAGGATTAAAATAGTGCGGTGTGCAGCAATATTAATTGTACTAAAGTGCTTCTAGGACTTGGGATGGGGAATTCCTAGTCTGAGAAGGCACATCGGAACAGCCAAGTTTTTAGGTTCTTTCTGAAAGCTGCTAAAGTAGGGGCCTGTCGAAGATCTTTTGGAAGGGCGTTCCAAAGTCGGGGGGCCGCCACAGAAAAGGCCCTGTCCCATGTCCCCACCAAGCGCGCTTGCGACGTGGGTGGGATCACGAGCAGGGCCTCCCCAGATGACCGGAGCGAGCGTGTGGGTTCGTAGATGGAGATGCGGTCACGCAGGTAGGGTGGTCCCAAACCGTTCAGGGCTTTGTAGGTTGCGGCACATTTACCCGAGATCATTTTAGAGCACAATCAAGCAGGAAGGAGACGGAGACTGCAATTTGATTCCAGGCAAATTTACTATCAAGTTGATAGGACGCTCAGAACAAGATCTGAAGCGTACTAGAAGTCAGGCAGATTACAATATTTATAGCAGAAGTCCCCTTGTCTAGACATGCGTTGAACTGTCTTGACATTTGCACAAATATAATCATTAACAGAAATCCTTACGTATTGCTTTTTCCCATACACCAAAATGTCGCACTTCCAATTGTTTCAAACCATATTCGTAATCCTTTTGGAATATATCTGAAGTTGTCTGCTATTTACCTCACTGAACCACCAGATGCTGCTCTGACCTTTTCCAGTCTTAGATCCATTATCTACACAAGCGTCCTTGTCTGGTTGCCAGAAACATTCCCTTGATGATAACATCTCACTTTATTATTGTTTCCCAAATATCATGTTCCAGTTAATATTTAACTTTCTTGAGCCTAACCCATGAAGCTGGTTAAGTCAATCATTTACTTTCCGTCTTTGGAACACTTTGCTCTCTCTACCAAACCCCCCTGCCGCAGATCTCTCTCTCAAGGTATTCCAAGGTATGCTTTTCTATATTTTTAAATACATTTTCTTCCGCTTGCTGCCACATTCCCCCCTTTTTGCGAGCGGATGTTCTACAGTAGCCTCGCAAACTCACGCAATTACATTCTTAGCAACAACATTTAACACAATCATTTATCACAGCTATTGAAGAATGTTCCATACACGTTGGCATTTTCACAGTGCTCTTTTTCTTCTGTCTGATGTATTCAACCAGCTTCCAGGTATGTGGTCAAAACCAGAGCCGTAGTCCTCATTCTGGCACTGCTGGTTCGATGATACAAAGTCTCAGGGAATCCTTTTGAATCAAGAGTCTCAGTCCATTCAGGTGATGCTCTCTTCATTCTAGCATAATGTATCCAGTCTTTTATCTGCAAAGGGATAGGGCATGACCAGCTCTTTTCCTCATCCCTTTCGCGTTGCAGCCTTTTCTGTAGTGTCAGCATACCCGTTTCCATAGGTCACACGTTCCTCGTCACATTGATGTACTCTGTGGTGCATTACTGTTACTGATGCAGGAACCCAGACAGCATCTAACAATCTCAGAATGGTCTTATCATGTTGTATTTCTTTCCCAGCAGAATTTAGTAGTCATTTTTCTTTATATAATGCTCCATATGCATATAAGGTAGTAAATGCATGTTTAAAATCTGTATAAATATTGATTACTTTTCCTTTTGATCTGAAGTACTTAAAGGCAGTGGTTCTGCTTCCCACACAGTAGTTATAGTTATTATTGTATATCCAGCATATCTTTTCCCTTTTTCAACCAAACTACTTCCATCTGTAAAAAGAGTGGCATCTACCTCAGGCCATAGTTAATCTTTTATATCAGATCTATTAGAATATATCTCATGCATAATTTCTAAACAATCATGTTGAAGCATTTCCCTTTCAACAAGCAGAAGTGAACCAGACTTTAATATACTGCAAGTCTGTAACTTAATTTAAAAATTTTCACATAATAAAATCTGATATATTTTTTCATATGGCTATTTATGAACCAATGATATCCTCTATAGTTCATGATAGCCATTACTGAATGAGGGTTTTAACTATCAACTCTGGTCCCAAAATCAATTTATCAGCTTCCTGAGTCAACCAGGCCATTACAGCACATAGACAAGTTGGCCATCCTTTTGCTACATGGTCAATTTGTTTAGACAAGTAGGCTACTGATCTCGGCCAGGTTCCTAATAGCTGGGTATGCACCCCTCCTGCTATTTCATCTCATTCACCAACATAAAGTGTGAATGGCATCTTCAATTCATACAAGCCCAAGGCCGATGCTTGCATCAAAGCTTGCTTTTAACTATGCACATGTTTGGGCAAATTTGGGGTCCAATTAAATGGTTCCCTTTCACCCCCCTTTGTAACTTCATAAAGAGGTCTTATCATTTTAGCTGCAAAGCCCTTATTCCAGCCACAGTTTTTCTTTCCAACCTTTCAACTTGAGCTGAGAGTTTTTCCCGAATTGTCTTATATTTGGAGCTAAACCCATAGCAGGGAACAAAATGGCTCCCAACCTTTCTCCTTCAATTAAATAAGTTCTGTCTGGATCATCTCCAACCTCTTCATCATAAACTCCCCTTTTTAAAAATTGTTCTCTTTTCCAAATCATTTAGGATGGTTATTCTATATATTATCATATCTGCTAGCATTACTCCTTCATTTAAATAAGTTTTGTCTGGATCATCTCCAACCTCTTCATCATAAACTCCCTTTTTAAAAATTGTTCTCTTTTCCAAATCATTTAGGATGGTTATTCTATATATTATCACATCTGCTAGCATTAGGATACCTATCGTGCATGTTCCAACCCAAAAAGGTGGCAAAATCTTTCCTGCCCACTGTCCGCAAATCCGATACAGCCCGGGGAGGGTAACCTTCCCTTTGTTACCAGAGACTTTTTGGCACAGCCTAACGGGTTTCCACCTCCTTTACCATTCTGGCAGGATTTGGTTCCCCTTGACTCTGCTGTGATCTTTCATTTGGTGGTCTCTCAAAGGGGGGTTCCCCTTGACCCTGCGGTACCTCCCTGCTGGGGGTCCTTGGCTGATCACGGTTTTTGCTGGCAGCTTTTTCTTGGGCCTGTTTAATGTGGGTATCCAGTTCCAGTAAAACAACACCATCAAATCTTTTTACCCTTTTAGAATGCTCTAAACGGGCTAAGAGGCTAATGTCCTCGGAAGCCTTTGTTTTAAATACATGGAGAAGGAGATTGCAATTTGGATAATGACCAAGTTCTATTTGGTGAGTATGGAGAGGGTTTTCCTGATCTTGTCCACTTCTCATCTCTTTCCCAAGTGATACATGCTGGGGCCTCCGGTGAGATCCCTTTATGTGTCACTATAGCTTGTTCTGGATCAAGTAAGATTTCAATCATCTCATAATTTTGAGGCTGTAAGGTGCTCCATCCTTTTTGACTTAATAACGTTTCCTACCATTAGTGGTCATCCCTCACGCTGGGAAATAGGCCCATGACTGCAAATTCAACACTCAGTAACTTCTGTCTCTTTTGCTATATCCTGACTCATCTGATGGAATATGTTTTGTTCCCATCCTCCCTTGTACTACCTTTGGGGATGAGTACACTCAACTTAATCAGGTAATAAATATACCACATGCCTACCTAAATACGCTTTCCCCCAAAAACATGTCTGTAATTGTAACACATCCATACCAACCCCAAGATGATAAGGAGTCCCACAATAACACACTCCCAACCCTGAAAGTCCATCCAATCTTCTTTCTTCTTACAGATGTTGGCTCTCTCTCTTATTCAGAGCAACTTTTATCCTCTTATATTTTAAGTCTTTGAAATATCTTCTTATTTATGTACGATGTAATTAGTTCTTTATTCAGTCGATCAACTCCTAAATTGTAAGTCAGGGCCCATCACTGTATGGTCTCCTTTTTAAGCAGGCTTAATTCATCCGCAATTTGGCATTCCCCTCATAGCATTAGGACATTCATCAAGCAATAGACCATTTCCAATTTTTTTTATCACAGGGATCACTCTTCCAAAATTTTCCCAGCCACTCTGAGTCTTCCAACACAACAGAGGGTACTGTAACAGGCTAACGTAAAATCATTAACATTTCCAAAATTTGTACTTCTTAATGCTTAATTCCCCTTTCTTTCCACATCATACTACCCTCATCTATCTTCATTCACCTATCAATTCAGTTGCCGACATTTTTGGACTTTAAAAAGGAGTGTACATGTCAATCATAACATTCAATTTGTCACTGCTCTTCCCACAAAATCTTCTATGTTTTAATATATCTCAAATTATCACTACCTTTCTCCTGTGTGAGACAGTTTCAATTTTTCTTTTTCAAAAAAAAGTTTTCCTTTCCCTTTTCCTAGTGAGGGCATTCAAGTTGGCCATTCTTGAATACTCTCAACACATTATTTTCTCTTTTTAACCCATCAAATGCTTAAACATATAATAATTAAACATAATCAACCTCACATAACAGTCTTGATGCATCCAAATCTGTCTTCATACATGCATTCACTTATTCTAAACTGCAATATTGCCACACATTTATCTAAACTTTCAAAAAGGGAATCTATTCATTCACATCTCAATATTTCAGGTTTCTATTATTTCATCACCTACTGTATCACTTTCTCTATATTCTCTGGCTACATTTCTCCTTTCAATTCTACCTTGTCCTAGGCAATTACACATCTTGGTTTTTCTCCCGTATTAACCCTATTCTCTTATTCTGACTTGCTTTCCCTACACATACCTTCTTCACATACCTTTAACTTTCTTCTTAGTTTTGCTT